AGCCTCTATACCAGGGTTTAGCGGCACATACAGGTAACAGTCACCCTGAGTACTAATAGTCAAAGCATATACGGCAATGAGGATAGCGTCATAGTCTAGCAAAGATATCCACTCCCTACCTAAGCAGCTCTAGCCAGCGGGGGAGCTCAGCGGCGTTGCCAAACTCTGCACGCCAGGTGTCGCTAAAACAGGAGAAGCAGCGGGACTGTGCGTGACCAACTGTTCCGCAAGTCTGACCAGCCCGATCACCTCTGCGAATGACACATGGGCAGGGGGCACTACTCCGAGACGCCCAACGCTGAGTGAACCACTCACGAAGCTGCTGGGGCATGAGAGTCTCGCGTGGACGCCGCTGCAGCTGCAACTTGCCACCGCTAGAAACTCCCCTTTGAACAGCTCCATGGCGACTGCCACTACTGCCACCGCCACTACCCCAACTACTGTACCACTCACGAAGCTGCTGGGGTGTGAGGGTCTTGCGCGGACGCCGTTGGGGCTGCAGCTGGCCAACGCCAGAAAGTCCCCACCAAACAAGTCCACCGAGACCGCCACTACGGCCGCCGCCACCACTCCCACTGCCGCCACCACCGTCGCCACCACTCCCACCGCTACCACGAAGAGACGTCATAGCGGGCAAAGTAAGGAGGTGTGCGACCAGCACGGCCGCACGCAGGGAAGACAAGGCAGCGAGCAGGCATTAGAGTAGGTCAGGGCGGCGCACGGTCAGGGAAGGGTTAGGTGGCACGGCGGCAAGCGGCACGCGGGCAGGGCAGGGCAGCGTGGCAGCGAGCGGTGCGCGGGCAGGGTGGCGGCGCGCGGCGAGCGGTGCGCGAGCAGGGCAGTGCGCGCGGCAGCAAGTGACGTGCAGCAGCAAGCCGCGCGCGGGCAGGGCTGCGGCGCTGCGGCGAGCGGCGCGCAGGCAGGGCAAGCGGCGCGGCGACGAGTGGCGCGCGGGCAGAGCAGGGCGCGCGGCGGCGAGCGGCGTGCGGGCCAGGCAGGGCGCACGACGGCGAGCGGCGCGCAGGCAGGGCAGGCGGCGCAGTAGCGAGCTGCGCGCAAGCAGGGCAGGCGGCGCGGCGGCGAGCGGCGCGCGGGCAGGGCACGACGCTCGGCGGCTTGCGGTGCGCGGGCCGGGCAGGGCGCGCGACAAGGAGCGGCGCGCGAGCAGGGCGACGCGGCGTGCAGGCAGGGCAGGCGGCGCGGCGGCGAGCGGCGCTCAGGCAGGACAGGGCGCGCGGCGGCAACCGGCGCGCGGGCAAGGCGACGCGGCGGCGAGCTGCGCGCGGGCAAGGCAGGGCAGGGCGTGCGTGAGCAGCGCGACGCAGCACAGGGCGTGCGTGGGGCACCGTGACGCAAGGCAGGGCAGGGCAGCGCGGTGCTAACAGGGCGGCGAGATGTGTGGGGTAGCGCGATTCGGTGGGTCCTAAAAAGAAAACGGTCATAGGAGAGGACCTGCTCTGAAACCATGTCAAAAACACGAGAATGGATGAACTAGCAGCAGGATGGGTACAAGTACTAACCCTAACATTGGGTTGTACCCCATATGGGCTACCCCACTACAGCCTACACAACATGCACCATATGAGTTTGACACGGTCGTGGTTATGAATACCAAGTGTTACGAGTGCAATTGAGTAAGCGAATGAAGATTGCACTTTCGAAGCAAAACAGTCCATTGTGCGAAGGAATGAGCGAATGGCAAATAGCAAGCGAGCGTGGTAACGGTAACGAGCGAATTGTGGGGTGTGCGACGGGCTTGGCGCCGAAGTTGTGAATTGCCAAGGCGGAGGACCGGTGTGCGAGTTACCAACCGAGCTGTGAGGTTGGGTCGCGGTGTGAACAGTGGCAGGAACAGTAGACGAGGCGAGTGTCGCAAGTGGTAACGGTTTACTGCTGGGTACTTTTGGCGGGAACAGTCATGTACGCGGTAAGGGCTGTTTGTCCTGACACTTGTAGGGTAACCACTTTCGTCTTGCATATGTTTTGACGACAGATTCTAACGAATTACGTAACCCTACAATAATCCGGATGGGCAGCAGCCCGGATGGTCAAATTGGAAAAATGTAACATGCCCTAAGTAGGGGTGTGAATGTGAAGTAAGGACAATGAATATTCCTTACATGAAGTAAGGAAAAATTGTTTCCTTCACTTGAACCTTATCTTACGCGAAGTGTTCTAGTCTACGTGTGACTGACGCCTTAGTGAGGTCTTGAATAATTGTCGGTGACAGTGACGGTCGGTGAACAAACGTCTGGTTACATCAAGCTTCTTCGTGCAGTCACAGATGGTGGTTGTGTTGCCTGCGCTGGTTGGGTGAGCGACGCGTGGTTTGGTCTGGATCGAGGCACGGAACACCGGGGCATTCTCCCGCAAACCAGAACAGACACCCGAATCCACAACGCGGGTGCGTGCCAAAGCTGAGGACGCGTCACAAGTAGAATACCGAGGAAGGGTCGGGGTTGTTCACCGAACCTGCCAAACCGATCGCCATATCGGTGTGCCAGGGCTGCTTTTTGCAATCGCGGGCCCGCTGCAAGTTTCAAGTGACACGATCGTAAAAACATGGGGCAAAGTTGCCCGATGTGGACGAAATTGCACGATCGATGTGTGACAAGGGCACATCGATCGCCTGACTCCGAAGGGACAACTGTACGCTAACGAAAATAAACGAAATTATGTAACCACTTAAGCACCGATTCTATGCAGGGTCGGCGTTTTACTTGTGACGCGTCCTGAAATCAGGGCCCGGAGAATGGTTGTGCAGTACAGAGCGGCAGGCTCGGAAGGTGGTTTGGTTTCGGAGGGCATCTGTTCTGTCAACGGAGTTCCTAAGGCAGGCACAAGGTAGAAGGCAGACACATGAATTGCACAAAACGAGACATACCCGCAAGCCATAGCTGAATCACAAGAGGCATGTATGTTAGGCTTAGCAGGAGATGCACGCGCAATTATTGATAACTGCAGCACGCATAAGTAGCTGAGCCTTGACATTAGCTATCGGTGCTGACTGCGGCGTTCACATAAGGGACGGATAGTGGTGGAGACGAGCGTCGTCGGCTGGCAGCCTATGGACAGACACAACCCACATACTCTTAGCTTAGCTCCAGTAGTCACAACCCTAACTTGTCTAATCCGTCTGCCGACTCGCGCTTCGTAACTTGCCGACTTCTGTGTCATTAGGTCTCGTCCCGTGCCGTCGTTCGTCTAGAGGTGTTTCCATGGCTCTGCTCGATAATAATCTCCGTACTCCCAGCCGGGAATTAGTAGCTTCCACAGCTTCATTACCTTCCTGTAAATTATTGAAACGCATCAGACAACGGCATAACGGAAGCAGAAGACCGTTGTCGGTAGAAACGCACGACTTGACAAACCGACGCTACGCCACGCCAAGGACGCGACCGTGCCATCTCTGGAAGCTTCTTACCGCTGCTAGCTCGCAAGTGCTTCTCTCTGTCGTGGTGCTCTTGCTGTGCTCGTTTCGACCCGTCGACTCTCAGGCCTCTAACGACCGTACGTGAGACCAATAATGCGGTGACCCTTAAGCCGACTAAAAAACCATAACGTGCTGTGCGCGTTTCGACCCGTCGAATTAGAAACCTCGTCAATAATCGAATATGAAATCCATGAACGTGGCTTTTGGAATTCTTCGAGTGCTTTCCCGGAAGCATCGTCCGTGCTTCTTTCCGAAAGCGGGATGTGAGCAGAGGGTCGGTAGCGTGTGAGTTGAATACGAGACGGTCGGTAGCGTGTGAGGTGAATACGAGACGGTCGGTAGCATGTGGATATAGAAGCTCAAAGTTTAAAGGGCTCTCACGTGTCAAATGTTTGCACATAGTTTGAAGACGTGGTGGTGCCAGCTCTCTTCAGGCTCCATGACGCTTGGATAACTCTCTTGACGAATCTGTCAGCCGTCGTATTGACCCCGTCAGTCGTCTGCGCATCCCATCAGCCGCTGTGAATGTTTTTTTCAGCCGACTTGACGGCTCTGTTAGCCACGATGACGACTCCGTCAGCCATCGTTATGAGACCGTCAGCTGTCTTGACCACTCTGCCAGCCATCGTGATGACTCCGTCAGCCGTCTTGACGACTCTTACCACTCTTCTTGATACATGACTCGAATAGAAACAACGACGGGAAGACCGCTACGGAGAGCTAGGGTTGCGGGCTGCTATAGCGTAGATGCAAGGTGCTGATTTCTTTCGTTTCGTGGAAGAAGAGAAAGCCAGATTCCAGCTCTACTGCTGGAACCCTCCAAAAGGAACAACAGTGCAGATGCAACATTGAATCAGGTCACATCTCAACATCCGAGGAGTTTTTTGCCTTATATACGCACTTTTCACGTTGCAAATAGTCACGCACGCATTTTCCTTTCTATCTTCCCTCCACTTTTTTTTTTTTTTTCCACCTCCAGTCTGAACCCCTTTCTCTCCCTTTCCTCTCAGCGATCCTCTTTTTCCCAAGCGTGGCTTTCGCCTCACGACGCCACATTCTGGACCTCACCTCACCCACCCTCCACTTCCCTCATACCACACACGTACATCCCAACCACTCTCAACTCATGGTTATGGCAGGCGTGTCTCTCGCGGCGCTGGGCAGCAGTCTGTTCCCCACCAGCTCGCTCGTGTGGTCGCCCCCTCTGCTGTGCCTTTTTGAGTCGACTCAAACTTCCCCTCCTCCCCCCCCCCTTTCTTCCTTGGCCATGGCAGGCGTGTCTCTCGCAGCGCAGTTTGGACCCCACCAGGCTCGTGTGGTCGTCGCCGCTGCTGTGCTCTGGGTGGACCGTGGACCACTCTTGCAACCCATCACCCTCATTTCTCAACGTTCCACTTCCCTTCGCGCCCCACACCTCCTTCCCAACCATGGCTGGCCGGTGTTTCTCTCGTGGTGCTAGGGAGCAGCCTGGACCCCAGCAGTGCACTCGTGTGGTCGTCGCCGCTGCCGTCCTTTTTCTAATCGACTCAAACTTCCCCCCCTCCTCCCCCCTCCCTGGCCATGGCAGGCGAGTCTCTGGCGCTGCTGGGTAGCAGTCTGGACCCCAGCAGCGCGCTCGTGTGGTCGTCGCCTCTGCTGTGCTCTGGGTGGACCAACTTCACGTGTAAAGACAACACCACCATCACAGCAATGTGCGTGTAAAGACAACACCACCATCACAGCAATGTGCGTGTAAAGACAACACCACCATCACAGCAATGTGCGTGTAAAGACAACACCACCATCACAGCAATGTGCGTGTAAAGACAACACCACCATCACAGCAATGTGCGTGTAAAGACAACACCACCATCACAGCAATGTGCGTGTAAAGGCAACACCACCATCGCAGCAATGTGCGTGTAAAGACAACACCACCATCACAGCTATGTGCGTGTAAAGACAACACCACCATCACAGCTATGTGCGTGTAAAGACAACACCACCATCACAACAATGTGCGTGTAAAGACAACACCACCATCACAGCTATGTGCGTGTAGAGACAACACCACCATCACAGCTATGTGCGTGTAAAGACAACACCACCATCACAGCTATGTGCGTGTAAAGACAACACCACCATCACAGCAATGTGCGTGTAAAGACAACGCGAAATTCGTGTGCTGCAATAACCAGACCAGAATCAAAGTTTGCGCGAAAGGAACACCACCATTTTCAACAAACGATCGTGTACGATAATTCAAAAGTACTTAGGCATTGATAAACATAAACTCAACGAGTTGAAGCAATGGGCGTTGCGTTGCCATCATTTAGTCCTCTAAATCGAACTTCTATCAGCCTTCCAGTCCTTGCTGCCCCGCGTCTTCTCTATGGCCAGACGATGAAGCAAACTGGAAAAGGGGGGAAGAGAGTTGGGGGATCCATTGTGCTGATCGTGCATTGTCTCCCTGCCTCCTCCCACCTGCCTGCCTTCCTCCTCTCTCTGCCTTTTCTCTCTGCCCGTCTTCCCCCTCTGCCCGCATTCCCCTTGCCGTGTACCTGCGCTGTGCGGTGCAGCAATCTGCTGAAGATGCCACTCTCTGGCTCCCTGCCTCGCGACATCTCCAGATTCAAAAGCCTTGAATTCCTGTCAGTCGCAATCTGCCTGTACTACGGTTTGAAAATTAACCTACTTTCTTCCTCACCTAAAACCACTATTATTCATTTTACTGCACGCACCACTGTTCCTCTCGCCTTCTCTCACTCTTTTCCTCTCACCTGCACTCACCCCCCCCCTCCCTCTCACCTGCACTCACCCCTTTTTCTCTGATCTGCGCTCATCCCATTTCCTCTCACCTGCACTCACCACCACCCACTTTCCTCTCACCTGCACTCACTCCTTTTCCTCTCTCCTGCACTCACCCCCTGTCCTCTTATGTAACAACTTCTTTGTGCTGGTTTTCTGCATGTGCTGCTCCCCTGGCAGGGTGATTCGGAGTTCCAGCATCTCAGGTCCGTTGCCTGATGCAATCACTACTCTGAGAAACCTCAAGTACCTGTGAGTGTAACATCCTAAAAACATACACATTGTGTAACAATTTAAGAAAACATGCCCTCTCATTTTTATTCCTTCGATCCAAATATACTTTTTTTTTCTCTGTACACAGTATGTGTTTACCCTCTTTGTTGCATTCATTGCAATGTATCACCCATGCCATCACAACACTTGCAGAGATTTGAGCTACAATCAAATATGGCCGCCTGTGCCAGCAGGCCTCTTCTCGATGCCAGAGTTGAAGGGCATGTAAGAACCCTGTAGACTCTACTTCTGTGTCCTGTAAGAACCCTGCAGACTCGTAGACGAGCACTGCTTCGAAATCGTTTGGTTAACTTCGTGGTTTTATTTTTGAGATGCTGCAAGAACAAGGTCCAACAGCAGGCATGTGGTGGGTTCCACTCCACCCCCTCAAGTCTGCAGATTTAAATGCCTTGCCGTACACCGAAGACACCGTTTCATCTTCCAGTTTCTCCCCCTCTGAACCCGTTCGCCTGTTGCGTTCACTCCTCTTCCGGCCCCTTGTTTGCTTGCGTCTCACGCCTCTACTGGCCGCTTGTGTCTCACGCCTGTACCGGTCGCATCATGGTGCTTCTTGCCCCTTGCCGCCTGCTCTGCCACACCCCCCTCCCTGAATCACTTGCTGCCTGCAGGCTTCTGGGCAACAACTGGCTGACCAACCAGCCGGTGCCCCACATGGCCAAGGTCACCCGACACCCGCCTCCCTGGGCATGCTGTCGAGAGATTTAGAAGAATCTCAAAGAGATATCAAGCATTTCCCACCCCTGCCTGCAGGCTTCTGGGCAACAACTGGCTGACCAACCAGCCGGTGCCCCACATGGCCAAGGCGCCCACCCCCGTCTACCCAGCTGTTGCCTCTCATCCCTCTCCCCTCCCCAACCCCCCTGGTAACTCTCATGCCTTTGTGACCCCCCCTGCGTGCCTGCAGGCTGCTAGGCAACAACTGGTTGACCAATCAGACGGTGCCCAACATGGCCAAGGCGCCCGCCTCTTTGAACATGGTGTCGCTGCGCACCGTGGGGGCGACTGTGGACAACACTTCCAAAGCCGGCAAGGCTACTCTTGAGTAAGTGCATGCGTCGGAATGGGGCATGCCTTGGAAGTTGGAATGGGGCATGCCTTGGAAGTTGGAATGAGGCATGCCTTGGAAGTTGGAATGGGGCATGCCTTGGAAGTTGGAATGGGGCATGCGTTTGAGATGGGACATGCACACAGCCGTCCTCTAACACTGTATACTCCTTTTCTTTAAGCATGAATAAATGTGCAAGTGTCCGAGCCAAACTGCCTTGCCCCGAGCTGTGGCGATCCAGCCAGTGGACGAGCCAAGCCAGCAGCTAACCCGGCTCGTGGCCCTTCTCTCCCCGCCCTCCCTCCCTCCTCCCCCCCGTCTCATCCTTCCCTTTCGCAACCCCCCCACCAGCCGGTACGGCAACACACAACCTCTTCTCCTAACTAACTAGCACCCAACTTCCCCCTCTTCCCCCCTTTTTTCCCTCGTTTCTTCCTTCCCTTTCCCCCGCCACCAGCCAACCCACAAGTCTGTGACGTGGCCACAGGCCGCCCACTCAACCTCTTTCCCTCTCCCCCCCTTCCTCCTCCTCCCCCTCTTCTCCTCCTTTCAACCCCGTTTCTTCCTCCCTTTCCCCCCACCCTGTATGGCAACCCACAAATCTGTGGCATCTCCGCAGGCAGGCCCACCCCTCAACCTCTCGTCCACCAGCGGCCAGCTAAACACCTCCCAGTTCCACGACTCCTGCAGATAGGCTCGCACATCTTTCTGCCTCAACGCCTCCCTCTCCCTTCCCCTCCCCACTTCTCCCTCCCCTCCCCTCCCCACCCCCACCAGCCTGTACAACAACCCACAGATCAGCGACGTGGCCACAGATAGGGCGGCCACTAAACCGCCTTCATAGCTATCTATCCACCCCCCCTCCTCCCCTCTCTCTCCCCCTCTTCTCCCCCTTCTCCCCCCACACCAGCCTGTTCGGCAACCCACAGTCGGCCAGAGGCTGCCTGCTCGACCTCTCTTTCCCTCTCCCCACCCTCCTCCCCCTCTTCTCCCCCTCTCCACCTGTGTCTTCCTTTCCCGCCCCCAACCCCCACCAGGCTTTACGGCAACCCACAGATTTGTAACGTAGCCACGGGCAGCCCGCTCAACCTGTCATCCACCAGCGGCCAGTTCAACAACTCGTGCAAGTGGACCCACACGCCCTTCTGCCTCAACCAGCGCTGCCTCCCCACGCAGTACATCAACCGCCCCACCTTCCTCAACGCCTACCCCCCCTCCAACTGCATCTACGGGCAAGGCCCCATGACCGCCCCGCTCTTCCCTTCTGACCCAACTGCCGCAGCAGCAGCTGCTGCCTCTGCCACTGCTGAGTCTTTCACCCAAGCGTCTTCTCCCAGCTCGCTACTCCCTCCTGGCAGTGCCGGTCCACCCGATGCGGCTCCTGATGCTCTTGGTGGTGATCGTGCTGGCGGCCGTGGCGGTGGTGGTGGGCCAGCAGCGGCGCCTGCGGGTGATGTAGCGGTGCCGACGGGGCCGGGGGCGTGTGTGTGTGCGGGGAGCAATCAGTTCTACGAGTTTGACCTGCTGTGCGCCAACAGCAAGATCCAGGCGTGGACGGATGAGTACTCGCAGCTTGTCTCTCAGAAGGTGTCTGAAGCGTTCGCCTATAAGCTGAAGAGATGCATCAATCCGGAGCAGGTGAGAGAGTGGGAGCAGGTGAGAGAGTGGGAGCAGGTGAGAGAGTGGGAGCAGTTGAGAGGGTTGAGTTGAGAAATGGGGCACCATATGAGGCGTGGGAGTGGAGCGACGAGTACTCGCAGCTTGTCTCTCAGAAGGTGTCTGCAGGGTTCGCCATGAAGGAAGGTGTTTGCCATGAAGTGCAGTAATCCGGAGCAGGTGAGCAGGTGAGAGGGGTTGGGGAGTGGGGCACAATATGAGGCGTGGAGCGGAGCGATGAGTACTCGCAGGTCGTCTCTGAGAACGTGTCTTTTCGCCTATAAGCTCAAGAAGTGCATTAATCTGGAGCAGGTGAGAGGGAGGGAGGGGGAGGGAGGGGGTTTGAGGCGCATTTCCTTAAGTGCTTCCTCAAACACGCACTCACTTTCTCAATCACTCGTTCCTTTGCCATCCCCAACGCTGTTGGCTGCTGCACAGGTGTGGGTGTGGCACGCGTACGTGAGTGGGTGCTGCCTGGACAGCAGCGGCGCACCGCTGTTTGACATGCGGCTGTACGTGGTGCTGTTGGTCTCATGCTTTGCTCCCCATTCATTGCATCCCTCTGTGTTTCCACCCCAATGCCCTGTTTGCTCCTGCACAGGTGTGGTTGTGGCACGCGTATGTGAGCACCTGGCGGCTGGACAGCAGTGGCGCACCTCTGTTTGACATGCGGCTGTACGTGGTGCTGTTTGAGAACCTCACGAGGGACGAGGAGATCACGGTGCAGTACGTCATCGTGCAAAACCCCGGCCTTCTGAAAAACTCCACGTTCGGAGAGCTCAAGCTGCTGGGTGAGTGGGCGGGGGCAGGGGGCGGAGAAGGTGAAAGGGGAGGGAGAGGGAGAGGGGACGTTGGGGTCTGACCTGACTTGGCCTGGTTCAGCCTATCATCGTGCAGAACCAGGACCTTTTGAAAGGCTCCACGTCCGGAGTGCTCAAGCGGCTGTGTGGGTTGCAAGTGGGGGGAGGGTAGAGGAAGTTGGTGTTTGACTTGGCCTCATGCAGTCTGTCATCGTGCAGTCTGTCATCATGCAGTCTGTCATCATGCAGTCTGTCATCATGCAGTCTGTCATCGTGCAGTCTGTCATCATGCAGTCTGTCATCATGCAGTCTGTCATCATGCAGTCTGTCATCATGCAGTCTGTCATCATGCAGTCTGTCATCATGCAGTCTGTCATCATGCAGTCTGTCATCATGCAGTCTGTCATCATGCAGTCTGTCATCATGCAGTCTGTCATCATGCAGTCTGTCATCATGCAGTCTGTCATCATGCAGTCTGTCATCCTGCAGTCTGTCATCGTGCAGTCTGTCATCATGCAGTCTGTCATCATGCAGTCTGTCATCATGCAGTCTGTCATCATGCAGTCTGTCATCGTGCAGTCTGTCATCATGCAGTCTGTCATCGTGCAGTCTGTCATCATGCAGTCTGTCATCGTGCAGTCTGTCATCATGCAGTCTGTCATCATGCAGTCTGTCATCATGCAGTCTGTCATCATGCAGTCTGTCATCATGCAGTCTGTCATCATGCAGTCTGTCATCATGCAGTCTGTCATCATGCAGTCTGTCATCATGCAGTCTGTCATCATGCAGTCTGTCATCATGCAGTCTGTCATCATGCAGTCTGTCATCATGCAGTCTGTCATCATGCAGTCTGTCATCATGCAGTCTGTCATCATGCAGTCTGTCATCATGCAGTCTGTCATCATGCAGTCTGTCATCATGCAGTCTGTCATCATGCAGTCTGTCATCATGCAGTCTGTGATCGTGCAGTCTGTCATCGTGCAGTCTGTCATCATGCAGTCTGTCATCATGCAGTCTGTCATCGTGCAGTCTGTCATCATGCAGTCTGTCATCATGCAGTCTGTCATCATGCAGTCTGTCATCATGCAGTCTGTCATCATGCAGTCTGTCATCATGCAGTCTGTCATCATGCAGTCTGTCATCACGCAGTCTGTCAGCACGCAGTCTGTCATCATGCAGTCTGTCATCGTGCAGTCTGTCATCATGCAGTCTGTCATCGTGCAGTCTGTCATCGTGCAGTCTGTCATCGTGCAGTCTGTCATCGTGCAGTCTGTCATCATGCAGTCTGTCATCATGCAGTCTGTCATCATGCAGTCTGTCATCATGCAGTCTGTCATCATGCAGTCTGTCATCATGCAGTCTGTCATCTTGCAGTCTGTCATCATGCAGTCTGTCATCATGCAGTCTGTCATCATGCAGTCTGTCATCACGCAGTCTGTCATCACGCAGTCTGTCATCATGCAGTCTGTCATCGTGCAGTCTGTCATCGTGCAGTCTGTCATCGTGCAGTCTGTCATCATGCAGTCTGTCATCATGCAGTCTGTCATCGTGCAGTCTGTCATCGTGCAGTCTGTCATCGTGCAGTCTGCAGTCTGTCATCATGCAGTCTGTCATCATGCAGTCTGTCATCATGCAGTCTGTCATCATGCAGTCTGTCATCGTGCAGTCTGTCATGGTGCAGTCTGTCATCATGCAGTCTGTCATCATGCAGTCTGTCATCATGCAGTCTGTCATCATGCAGTCTGTCATCGTGCAGTCTGTCATCATGCAGTCTGTCATCGTGCAGTCTGTCATCGTGCAGTCTGTCATCGTGCAGTCTGTCATCGTGCAGTCTGTCATCATGCAGTCTGTCATCATGCAGTCTGTCATCATGCAGTCTGTCATCATGCAGTCTGTCATCATGCAGTCTGTCATCATGCAGTCTGTCATCATGCAGTCTGTCATCATGCAGTCTGTCATCATGCAGTCTGTCATCATGCAGTCTGTCATCATGCAGTCTGTCATCATGCAGTCTGTCATCATGCAGTCTGTCATCGTGCAGTCTGTCATCGTGCAGTCTGTCATCGTGCAGTCTGTCATCGTGCAGTCTGTCATCATGCAGTCTGTCATCATGCAGTCTGTCATCATGCAGTCTGTCATCATGCAGTCTGTCATTATGCAGTCTGTCATCGTGCAGTCTGTCATCGTGCAGTCTGTCATCGTGCAGTCTGTCATCATGGAGTCTGTCATCATGCAGTCTGTCATCGTGCAATCTGTCATCATGCAGTCTGTCATCGTGCAGTCTGTCATCGTGCAGTCTGTCATCGTGCAGTCTGTCATCATGCAGTCTGTCATCATGCAGTCTGTAATCGTGCAGTCTGTCATCATGCAGTCTGTAATCGTGCAGTCTGTCATCATGCAGTCTGTCATCGTGCAGTCTGTCATCATGCAGTCTGTCATCGTGCAGTCTGTCATCATGCAGTCTGTCATCATGCAGTCTGTCATC